GGATTGCTTGGTGTCATGTGGCCGGAACATTATTTAGTCTTGTTTGGTAGAGGGAACAACTGCCTCCAGCTAAGTCACCCGGCAAGTTGTACACTGCCACAACTGGGGAAATAACTCTTCATACTTCAATCTCTCACTTCTCTTTTCGAGTCTCATGGTAATTTGTGGGTCCTCCTCGAAAACAGGGTTTGGTCGCCGACCTGTGAGCCAGTCCTCAATAAACGTAGTTCCAACTAACGTGGGTAGCAGATACAAAGAAAGGTTGTAGTGTGCGGTGATGGCGCTTCCGGTATGACCTTTTTTTACTTTACTCATTGACTACACACTATACCTGTTCTGATAGGCAAAACGTCATTATTAAATGTCTTCACAAGAGGCTTCTTCACCCAAGTCTAGTGAGCACTTCACCCTGTATTATGTTTAGCAACTGACCGGCTTTGGTAGCGAGCCGACCGTCTTCGAGAACTACGTGCATGATATATATGTGGAGGACCAGGCAGTGGAGCTTAGCTTATGGGACACCGCCGGTGAGCAAATGCATAGATCATATCTCTATCTGTTCTCTGTAACATCTAACATTCGAAGGGATCATTAGGACAGGAGGAGTTTGATCGGCTACGATCGTTAAGCTATGCAGAAACACATGTTGTCATGATCTGTTTCTCTGTCAGTCACAAAAGCTTATCATCCTTGGGATATTGAGGCTTATGCTGTCTTCACAGGTCGACAACCCAACATCACTGGAGAACGTCGAGTCGAAGGTACATGCGTTCTTACTCCCCATGGACCGTCTAACTGAATTTCTTTGGGCAGTGGATCGACGAAATAGTAGAATACTGTCCAGGCGTAAAGGTGTGCTATGATTTTTGCATATTTCCGTCGCTAGCTAATTCTTGAAATAGCTTGTCCTGGTCGGTCAGTCGTACCTTAACAACCTTACTTTACAACATGACCTGACACACGATAGCCCTTAAATGCGATCTTCGGGACGACCGAACTGTTCGTGATCGACTTGCTCGATATGGGGCTCATACAGTGCAGTATGAGGAGGGTCTTGCAGTTGCCCGTCGAATACGAGCATCACGATATCTTGGTGCCTATCATTCCTTTTTACCTCTTTGTTCGCTTGAGCTGACTCGATCATCACAGAGTGTAGTTCGAAGCACAATAGAGGTGTTTCAGAGGTCTTCTACGAGGCTGCACGCGTGTCCTTGAGCACGCGGGCAAAGGGGTCTGGGTCTGGGTGCGTTATAATGTGATGACAATACCACGTCGGATACATATGTTCATAGTTTATCTCGGACTTGTCAGAGCTGTGCTCGCATTCATGCTGTATTTTTACATTACTATTCCACTAATAACACGACAGTCATTATTTACCAGAAAATCAGAAAATGCAAGGGATATACGAATCAATACCCGATGTGTAGTGCGAGAGCAAAGCAACATGGGCGATATAGATGATGCATGAGTGAAAAATACCACAACAACAAATGGCGTGATCATAAAAAGGTGGTGGCACAAAGATTACAACAAAGAAATCGTGAGCTGCGTCATCAGCAAATGACGGCGTTTTGAAGTCAGTACTGTTCATATATTGAGGGGTGGGACTGAAGTAGAAGAACTAAAAAAGTTGGTGCGCTGCACGGACCCAGTGCTTCGCGATTTCATGTTAGGATGGTGGTTGTGATGATGATATTGATGGTGGTGGTGGTGGACAGGCCCGTGAGTCTTGCGTTTTAACATCTTCATCTCGCGGCGAGACTCTTTGCGAGTTTTGTGAGGAGGTTGTTGATTATGGGGAGATTGATTATGTGGCACGTGGGTAGGGGTGCGGTCGCCGTCGCGGACGGGAAGAAGTACAGGAGATATGACGACCGATCGGTTTTTGCCGGGAGTCGCCTTTGGAGGCGGTCCCTTATCGTGCCAGAGCATGGTACTGAGAGGACTACTTTTCATGACATTACTGTACGACAGTACGTCAGATGTGGCGGTCTTTGGAGGATCAGATGCCCAACCAGGGGACGAGGGGATGTCATTGGAAGATGCCGCCGACTCGCGAGTAAAACGGAAAGTACCGACAGGAACTCGGTCCCAGCGACTTAGGCTCTGCAAATGACGATGGAGTTCGCCTTCGCTCGCTGTACCGTTCCCTATTGACATCTCCGGTTCAGAGTCGAGATAGGACGAGTCTAGCACATCGTCCAGTTCAATCGCCTCTGCGAGTGAGGGCTCGGGAGTAGTTTGTGACGAGGGTTCATCGGACGATGAAGGAGGGGGTAAGACAAAAGATGGGGTGAAGATGGTGAGTCGGGATGTACGACCGCGAACGTCCATCATCTGAAATGCCAAGTTAATAGGACAACAAATCGTGTCATGTAAAATACATACGCTACTGAAGCTTCCACCGCTGCTAGAATCAATACGCCTGTGTCTATGAGCGAGGCGAGGGAAAGGAGACGGAATATCCTTGTTCGATCCAGTGAGAATGGCCATCTTCTGCGTGACATCGCCGACTTGCTTAAAGTGTCCCATAATGGGAACACCGCCTCGAGATATTCTCCGAATGGGACTGGGTGCACTTCCTTCGCCGCTGTCCTGAGAGTGATCTGAGTCATTGCAGAAGACCTTTCTGGCGAGAATGTCGGCGGGTCGAGGGGACTCACGGTGGTGCGACGCGGTTGATCGGCGATTGTGAGGTGCGGGCGAGACTGTGGGGCTGACGGTAAATGATGGATTGATGGAAGACACACTGGTAGGCCAACGGAAGAGCCTCATGGCACGTGATGTCGGTAAGCCGCTGGCGTCAACGAGTTCCTCTTCCGTGGTTTCACCGTCACTGGTACCAATCACGGAGTCGACCTCCTCATCGTCATCATCGCCACCGCCAATTCTCATTTCTGACTCCATCTCCACATCGCTGTCCTGGCTGATGGACGCGGTATCCGAAGCCAACAGTTGGGCAGCGGTGGCTTCAAAAGCAAGATCCAAAACGCCTTGGCCATCGTCACAGCCATTGGTGAAGACAATCTGACCATCCCATCCCTCCGTCATCTCAAGGTCCGTACTACGCTGCAGGCTGCTAATGCTATTTGCCATAGCATCGGCCTGAGCGTCTTGAGGATCAGCTGGCTCATCTCCTGACGAGCTGTCGTCGGAGGTTGTATCAGAAAGATTGTCGAAGAAGATGTCAGCATCGAAGCTCGATTCCTCATCGTCCGACCAACCAGTCGCAAGGCCGGTGTAAATGACGCTAGGGGCCTGACCATCCGTCTCCTCATCTGTTTCCTCATCACACAGTTCTTCGTCCTCATCCTCGTCCTCATCCTCTGTATGATCATCACTGTCGCCATCCATGTCGACATCGCTGGGACCGACACTTTTTTTGCGCGGGCGAATGACCCAAGTATTGTTATTATTATGCGCATCCTTGCGCCGATGAGACTCATCGCCTAAAAGCTCGCGACGAACGCGTGCTTTGTCATGACGTTTCTGCTCCGCAAGAATATAGCTCTCCTCCTCTGCCTCCAAAGAGGAATCAGAGTCGAAACTTGATGATTCACTGCCCGAGTCAGAGGAATCGGATGCTGACGACGGCGACAAATCTGAAGCGGCAACGAAAGTCGGAAATTGTGCAGACTCAATATCGTCGTCGTCTAGATCATCAGTACTGTGATCGCCATGATTAGAAGTGGACCCGCCACTGAATAGGGCCTGCTTCTTCTTCTTGTTATTCGAACCCGACACCTTCTTTTGGATTGTGCCTTGGGCCTTAGCGTTTTGGGGAGGCCTCGAGGACTTAAGATTTGTCCTCGGCTGTTTAGCACTCCTGATATTGGAGCGCGGGCCTTTTAATGCACCTGTTTTGTGTGCACGAAGAGATTGCGATGGGAGATGTGATTGTGATTGTAGCAACGTGTTGGCCTCGTTGCCGCGAATTTGCCGGTCTGCTGCCGCAGTCCTGGACGGGTTTCGCGCATCGACGGTACCTATCGATGGGCGTCCTTTGCGCGTGTGACTTGTGGAATCTTGGGACATATAATGACCATGGCCGACGGTGCTTGACGAAGCGAAACACTGAGCCTGTCCGAGGGTAGACACAGCCCCCGATCCCGTGATGTTGGATGCCACGGTGGATACTCCATCTGCGCGAGATTTTTTGCTTTGCGATGTCAGTAAGCGTGCTCTGTTCTGCATACTCGCTGGGACGGTGAACTTGATTTTTAGCGACGGCATTACAGAAACGTGAGCGGTGGAGGATGGAGCGACAACAGGACGCGCAAGTCCGTTGCTTGCGATCGGTGCAGGCGGAGGGCGCGGTTTGTTGTCGCAGGTGCAATCTCCATCGCACACTGGACATATGTCGCTGTCGTCCTCGTCGTCTGGTGTGAGGGAATTTACGGCGGCGCCTGCGGAATGGATGAGGGAAGGAGACATCGCTGGGGGCGATTGTTTTTGATAATCTGAGATGATATGTGAGTAAATGTACGTATAAATGAGGGACAAGGAAAGGATAATAGGAGATAAAATGATGATCTACTTGGATTGCCCTTGACATATTCACAGAAGCAGGTGGAAAATAATGCAAATACGGGATATTCCTGAGAAGACACGCGCATAAAGCAAGTAGAAATCAGACCAGGTATGGTCGGGCTATCGTATTACATGTAAAGAGATCAGTACGACGTATTAACAAGCGATAGCTTTGTCGCGTGACAGGTCCTTGGCTCCAAAGAACAAGTCCAGATCCGAAATGAGAAGTACTCACTGGAGACGCGATTTCTGTGCATCTTTTGACTGCAAATAACATGGATAAGATATAGACTCCAGATTGGCTGTTCTCTGCAGCGTGTTGATACTCAATACTGGCAGCGGCAATGGGCCACTGTACGACTGGCGTTTGTGACGGTGGTGAAGAGAAGAAATATTTCGCTACCCATCAAACTTCCCGCGTCCGTAACGATTACATAACAAGACTCATATTGAAAATGACAACCGTGCCGGGCCTTGCCCAGCTGATCATCTTCATTCATGCAGCGTGAGTTCATGGCTGTGAACTACAACGACAAGAGACTGAAAAATTCATTGTAATAGGCATCTCTCTCGCAGAACAGATCGCTCAGCTTGAGGACGCTGCACCTGTAGGCAAGCGCTACGGCACGGCCGTTCATCATTCACTCTGACTTTGCCGTTTGTAGATTTCGACCCAGAAAACGAGGTCACAGCCCACGATCAGGAAGATAATGATCTTGCGGATGACACCATCGGTGCACGCGACCACTACATTGACGTCGGGTAAGTTTCGCCTTCATTCTTGTTCCGGCCCTATCTTCAAATCCTCGTTAGGCCCTCTGCGTTACGCAAACTGCAAGACAGCATAGCTGATCTAAAATATGATGGTATAAAGACATCTCGAAAGCAATTGTTAGAATATGACGGCAGCGACTATAGCAGTGAGGGGGACGACAACGAGACTGGCAGCGAACTGGAGCGCGACGAAGACAACGAAGAATTAGACAACGAAGTCCCATCTTCTCAAAGCGAACCGGAGAACGAACCAGATACTCCAACGTTGATTTCTACAACATTTGCAGCCAAAAGTACGACTTCATATGAGGATCCAAAGCACATCGAGAATCTTTCTTCGAGATTGCGCAAAACGCGTGACGAGGACCGCAAAAAAGGGAAGGCCGTTTCGAAGCAAATTGTGCGGTTAATTGTGCCTTTTTATCTTGGTTTTACTGACCACGTTCGAAGGCGTTGTGGGACTCGCTACTTGACGCACGTATCCGTCTGCAGAGGGCCGTTTCTGCAGGAAATCGGCTCCCATCGGTTAGCATGTCGATTAATTTCTCAGTACTTCCCCCTCACCTCCACGCAGCTTGCAGATTACGACGATGTTCAGCCATCATTAGTAAAAATGCTGGCAGAGGCACAGCTTCTGTCTGATGAATTGTTTCACCTGCAGGAGGTACGTTTAATGAATCGCCACCACCTTGCTCCCCCTTATCAACCTCTATTCACTTTTCACAGGACTTACTATCTACCAATGAGGCAATCGCTCCTCCGCCTCGGAAACGTCATAAAACTGGTAATGTAAGATCTATAAAAGATTTTACTTCAGAATTTCGGGAAGCCACGCAGGCGGCAGCCTCTGTGGAGCATATGTATTTCCGTTTGCTTTGTCGACCGCTCCATACTGGCTAATTAAACACGACAGTTTCCATCCTCATCTCGTACAAACTTTGAACAAGTGGTCAAGCAAAATTCAGGCGGTTGCTCCTTCTGTGCTGCTGCCTTCAAATCGTAATGCATTCTCAAAGTCGTCGCAAGGATTGAAGTCCGCTTCTCAACTTATTGATGAAACGCTTGTGGATCACGATAAGGTTCTTCAACGGACAAGAATCTATCGGGGTAAAGTGTCTCGAATAGGGGCTGATAAAGGTGTTGGAGGTGATGAGCAGGAGGTTCAAGGCGATCTAGAGGTGTTTGACGATACAGATTTTTATCATCAACTGCTACGAGATGTCATTGATACCCGCGGCAAGGGAGGCAACGAAGACTGGATGGAAGTTCAAAAGCAGAAAAAAGCCAAGAAACATGTCGATACCAAGGCCAGCAAAGGTCGCAAGTTACGGTGGGTAAATCTATTAGTTTGCTGCTCCAAGATGCTCATCTCGCATAGATACGAGGTGCACGAAAAGATTCAAAACTTCATGGTTCCAGTTACAACGCAAGGCAGCTGGCATGAGGAACAGATTGACGAGTTGTTTGCTTCTTTGCTCGGAAAAGGATTCGAGAATTCTTTACAAGGTGCAGACGATGGGATGGATGAAGATACCTCGATGCGAGAGCAAATTGATGCTGCCCTGAAGAGCGGCTTCAGAGTCTTTGGGTAGTCCACCATGTCACACTTTAAGTTATACCGTATACGTATGAGGCACATCCAAATATAGACGCTCGATGACAGTGACGTTCTCAGTGGACAATCACAGCCCAAAACGCAGTTGTCCACTGAACAGCCTTTTAAACATTCTGCTGCTTGCAACATCTTCTTGCAAAGGTAGTCTACCTCAGAAGCCTTGGGGTCAGCCTGTGTTCTAGTTCGAATTGGACTTGTAGAACCTCACCTCACCAACTTGAAGCTCCTCAACTGACCCGACGATACACATAGTTGGAACTTTAACATGGACAATTTCGAGGAGGAGAATCCGTTCGAGACCGACGTTGATCATGTACCTTCCGAAACATCATCCACATCGAAGGTGAACATATCTGCGCCTTCTTCTCCCCGTCATACCGCTCGGGTTCTTTCACCGACAAGCCCAACACTGAGTCGTCCATTTCCTTCCTCTGGAACCAACAGGCATCCACAGACAACATACAAGAGTGACTTTTGTTGTGGACGAGATCAGTGGTTACACTCTGGGGAGGACCTCGAGATTCTTGTGCGTGGCTCTTTCGGTTGTCCATGTCTAAATGAACTCGCTAATAAGGAGCTTACACGATAAGATAACGGATGCACAGAAGACGTCTTTGAACTCGAACACGCCCTACATTACCTACATTATTCGTGCAGGCGTAAGTGCAACCTATTTCTCAATTGGATGCACCCCTACTAACCTTACGAGATAGAATGCAGAAGCGAGACATCGGTACTCGGAATTCGAGTCCCTGAGATCAAGCCTCGTGAAGTTGTATCCGACCATCATTATTCCACCAATTCCATCAAAGCAAACTATTGGCGACTATGCCACGAAGCAGGCAAAGGCCAAGGAGGATACTGCGATGATCGCACGCCGGAAGCGAATGTTGCAGACTTTCCTGAACCGCATCGCTCGGCACCCTATCTTGTCGAACGAGCATGTATTTCATCGTTTTCTCGACGGCGAGGTATCCTGGGTCTGTGAATTTTATTTTAACCTATTGGCCTCTGATTGATTGTGGTTGAATAGACTGAAGTGCTACATTCACCTCCTTTGTCTCTCCTTCCGAAGAACACCCTCAAAGCACCTTCACACAACCCGACAGATCAGAGTGCAGCTTCTGCTTACGCTGCTCTTCCAAATCCATCAGCAACGCACCCATTGAGAAACCCTGATCAGCGGTCCGTAGACTCTGAGATATTCACCAACAAATTCGCAAACCATCTCAGTGGACCAATGGAAAAGGTTACTCGGAGGACTTTGAAGCGATGGTCAGGTGCGACTGACGTTGTAAATCGGACAACTGAACTACTAATGACCCCTTGGTATGTTAGAGAATGCTCAAGATTACTCAGAACTCGGCGCTGCTCTCAATGGATACAGCTTGAACGAAAGTGGCGCACTGGCCGCTGCCATGGAGAAGACGGGACAAGCTGTTGACACGACGTACATGTCAACAACTAGACTTGTGCGTCGGCCCTTTTTCTGTCCACAGTCACCCATCTCACTCCTTCATAGCTCCAGGAACTTGAACAGAACTTTTCCGAGCCTCTCCACGAGTACGCTCAATTTGCAGTGATTATCAAGAAGCTGCTCTCCTATCGTCACCAAAAGCACGTTCAATATGAGATGACCCAGGATGCGTTGGAACACAAGCGTGAGATGCTAGAAGAATATGAAAAGAGCGAACGAGAAGCAAAGAGGTTGGATGAGGCGTTGTCTAAAGGTCGTGTTAATGGCCTGCGGTCACCAGGCAGCCCTTCCGAAGGCGAAGAAGGTCATAGTCAACCTCAAAACCAGCCTCAAGATGAGGCTGAGGAGCCAGGTTCAGCATACCTGCCTCCGCACCCAGGACCCAATCCATACAAACGGCGAGCACCTGGTATGGGCTTTTTGAATGCTTTAAGTTACACGCTGCACGGAATGATGGACGTTGATCCCGAAATGGCGCGTCGTAGTGGCATCAGCAAGACGCGGGAAACTATCTCACAGGTATGTCCTTGCTATTTCCCTGTTGCTCATCATTGAACTGATTGCATTTTACCATAGCTGGAAGATGCGCTGCACCTCTCAGCACAGGATCTCAAGTACTCAAGTTCGACGATTCAGGCCGATCTAGACCGCTTCCAACGTCAGAAAGTCGCCGATTTAAGGGAGATGACTATCAGCATGGCAAGAATCCACAGGGACTGGTGCAAGAAGGTAGGTTCCATTTTGACTATTCCAGAATTTAGCTTTAATGGTTGCAGAACCTCGAGGCTTGGCAAGCGGCGAAGAAAGAGATTGAGAAAATTCCTGACCATCCGAATAAGAGTCCTCCTTCTCCAGAAGCACGTCCTGTACCTGGCCCGTCGGGCTTACGGAGGGACTCGACTGCCACAGTCAATGGGCGGTGATAATGAGATACACACAATATTATTTCCAGGTGTTCTAAGATAGCATTTTCCCTGGAACACCTTGGGACGTTTCCCTCGCGCTTAGACCGAGAATTTTTTTCGGTCGTATTTCAATTTTTTTCGCCTACATGCACCCTCGAATATACTTTCTCGAATCATATTAAACACTCTGGAATCTATTTCACCCCTGAATTTTCATGCAGTAGCTCCGCGAGTCTTCGCGAAAGAATTTTCATTCAGTCGCTGGAATGAGCGCTCACCACCTTCATGCTTCATGGCACATTTCATAAATGCTGCTCGACTCAGGGTTGGAAGTGAATTATGTAAGTCAGTAACAATCGCTTAAGCTAAAGCATTCACGAATCGAGGCAACGACAAGATCTTCATATTATTAAAGCAAATATACTGCAGTCCAACAATAAGAAAAATCATGCAGTAAGAGAATGTGGAAGGCGAACATAATGTTTGGGCATGCTAGCTTAACGAAAGTAGGAATGCAAGGAGAGTAACTGACGCCGTCAGGTAATAATAGTTAACAATTAGAAAGGGAATTGATATGAAATAGGTATACGTAGTCGAAGGTAGAAGGTAGAAGGCCACGAGAAGCCCTTGAAGGCAATATTGCATACATATATCTAAAGTGTCTCATTGAACGGTCGTCAAAACTTGTGTTGTACATTGACGTAGTATTCATTCAAGCCGTTAACGCAATGACAGGCGGTGTATTTGGTGCCGAGTGCGAAGCCGAAGATGAATTGGAAGCTCCAATACAATCCTCGGTTGGTTTACGGCGGATGCGTTTATGCTGTCCTCGACGAGATTCCGTGGGATACTCGCATTTCATCCGACGTCGCGCACATTGGCTGAAGAAGTAGTCAGAAAGAGGAAATTATAGCCTATCGTGACAGCGCTTACTTGCAGGTCTGGTCTGGGCTGTGGGCAGGGGGTCTGCCACAGGCTATTTTTCTTTCTCTGCAGAATAGGCAAGCAAGGGCTTGCTTTTTCTGTTCACCGGTCTTCCTCGAGGCACTGACTTTCATAACAGGCTCCACAGGCGCTGACCACGTTGCAGGGAGGCTTGAAATGGTCTGAGAATGGCGGGTGATCTCCTCGGAGCGATGGGGCCTCTTATTAGCTTGATGGGCCGCCGGTCGCCCTTCTTCACGTAATAGTAGATCTGGTGAATGCGACTGTCTAAAAGGGCGAGCGGGAGACCGCAGGAGGCTTTGTGACTCGCCACTGTGTGATGAACTCGGAGGAAGACGACGTTCACGCCCAACTCTATTTTGAGAAGGAACAATCATGTGAGGCTGAGGAAGGTATCTTGAATCTTGCACGGGTGCACGAGCGTCAAGTTGCTAAATTTTCGATCGTCAGATCTTCAATTGTGTGGATGACTAGTAGCAAGCGCTGGTACCTGATTAACAAAGGCCTCCTCATTCATGGCTTCCGATGAGCGTTTTCTTGCAGGGGTAAGATTGCTGTTTTGCATAGGGCTCTGATGAGGGGTTGTAGATCCACTCAAGGTAGCGGACGTGTTGCGAGTTCGTGAAGTAGATCCTCCAAACAGCGACGACGCGCTTGCGAGAAAATCATCGCTGAGACGCGCGATCGTTGCTCGGTACTCTGACGACTGGGCAGCTGCGACATGAGTAGAGCTATTTCTGACGTCTTGTGCCCAACTCGGGGGATATGACGGTCTTCTGTCAGAAGAATATGTCGGGATGCTGGGATATGCTGCTGTATCATGGAAATAAGTCGACGTCTGGATTAATTCCCGCTGAGCTGATCGTTCGATAACAAGCTATAGTTTCGCTGTACTCACTGGACATGACGAATCTGACGATACAGAATGGACAGAGGAAGACGTGAAGTTGTCAAAAGCTTGGGGGTGATATTCATGAACAGGTGTCTGAATTAATTGTTGCTCGCCCTGCAAGTCTGTCATCGCAAGCATCATGTTGTCGGGAATGTAATACGAGTAAGGCTGATATGGAGTATAATCGTAATGCGTAGAAATCGGGAGACTGGCATCATAGTACTGGTCTCCATCGTGATAGCAGTGCTCCATCGCAGAATAACGGTCGAAAGTGTCGTGGACGTGCGGGGACATAAGAGTCACGGTTGGACAGAGAAGGAAAGTGCAAACGGAAGCAAATTTCTGACAATTGGTGCCGCGGAAGAACTTTAGGCTAAATCAGTACCTGAGTGGAACCCGAACGGGGGGAGAGCTTTTTGGTGAGGAGTCTATCCGGAATCACTTGTAACTTGGTAGATATATACCGATCCACTGGTCCACGATATCTGCGTGTAATTGCAGGCCACCCTAGGGTATTCTATACAGTAAATCCATAAGGCAAGCAGCACCGCGCTTATATCAGGTAAGGAAAGCGCAGAATCCAATCAATACCAATTGCATAACGAATCGACGGTGAAAATGAATCATTCACTTCTACCATCAGGCCATATCGGCATGGTAAAATTATGTTTAGGGGCCTGTTTTCTACTTGCCAAGCCGGTTGTCTCCTTCTCGCGGAGGGTCCGCTGGGGCGGACTTGATTGGCTGCCACAGGAGAATGAAGAGCATCCGTGGTGATGACCTCGCGCCAACAGTTGGGTTTGCATCCAGGCACGGGCTATGAGGGAGAAAATAATGATACACGCCTGAGGGTGCTGATACTCATTCAACGTCTGCCTTATAGCACAACATGATGCGAAAGGTGCCTCCGCACACAAGCGAGGGATTTCCATTCGAGGAGTGCGACTCCTCGCTAGAGACCGCGTTATGTCGGGTTGTACCGTTGTACAAGGGGACGACCGCACTTCATCTACAATCCACACAACGAGGAAAAGCGATGCATTACCCCTAGACCTTGAGAAGACCATGATGCGTGACCTCACGGGTTCCATCAAGTCTCTGCGGATCAAGTGATGCAGGAAGGAGCTGGGCACACAGCATTATCACTGAGGCTATTGGCAGCTCACCGCAAGGGCGAGTAATGCATTATTAGGGTGATTGCCGGCAGGCATGCGGCTCCACGAGATTTCGAGGAATTCAACTTGCATCATGAATTCTGAGGTCCCTAAAACGGACAACGGCCGGGGCTTTACGATCAGGCCAAATAGTACTTAGTCACGGTAGTCGTTGTCTTTGTCCATCCGTGAGGAATGGAAGCTGAAAAATTGCCGCATGGACCGGAATTTCTTTAATCCCTTACTAAAGGGGCACAAAGGCTAGCTCATCAGCTTGCTTTCCCCCTCGCGTGATACATATGCAAATTTGACCGAGGTCCCTCGCACCGGTTGTGCATCACAACGACGTGATTGCTATGGTACCTATTAATGAGCGTTAAAAAAAAGTTTCAAGTATACTCAGATACATACTTAGGCTTTGTTTAAACAATTAATACATCCGCGTCGTGATGTAGCCACCAAAGTCAGAGGTATGCACAGTGACTCATCCTGCGACGGTATGTGTGACATTCATTCTGGACGCAGGGGACTTCGAAGTGAAAAATTAAAGAAGATCAAAGAAGCATACTTAGTAACAAAGGCGCTTTAGTCTGCTTTGCTTGTAGACAGGCCGGCAACGCCAGACAAACGGCAGGATGCTAGAAACTACGCCATGTACACAAGTAAAGCAGCACGTAGACCTTGTGTGATGAAACAGAATTACAGTGAAATCTGAATGAGATTTGCGCCGTTCTGTTGGAACGGGGACCGCTGCGCTATAGATTGATCTGAGCCGATTACTGTGCGCCATTACGGTGATGTGGAAGAATGTTCCTTCACATCTGGCACGAAATTTTGAGTTCCTACGCTGTCACATTCTATCAGAAACGAGACTTGCCCAGGCAAGTACTGAAGCATTCATGCCGGTGATGGAAGGTGGATGATTGAGGAGCAAACGTTATCTCCTTCGCTCCAGAGAATGTTCGCAGAATTAGTGTTTCGGGCCTGCCTGCACGCAGCGATTCAGCAGTAAGTTCAATGAACTCGGCCGGATAAACTTGAGCATGAGACTTCTATGCTATGCGACTTCTATGACTCAATAAGTCTAACCTGATAAAAGAGGTGGCTGTGCAACTTGCTTCTTTGTAACCCCCACACTCGGTTAAGCAGTGAATTCAGGTTCTTTCCTAGCAACTAAGTAGCGTTATGGCATCATGGATACCCACTGTCGCTGCAGTCGGAATGGCCATTGGACCCCCATTAGTTTATGTCGACCAAGCCGTGTCTATCATTCGTAAAAAGTGCGGTTTTTTATGTTTCTGCCAACACACGGTTTACTTAACTCTTTACCCAGGGACTCAACGGGTTTCTCTCGTGATGTCTGCGCCATTTTGTGAGCTCTCTGGCATCACTCTGCTGCACCCTGCAACGCTGACACGATTCCGCACCCTGCAACCCCTCTCTTGTTTCACCGAAGACTAATCGCAAACATAACCCGATGTTTTTTCTGGTTGGGCGATCACTTTGAGCTTGCCCTGCTCATGCAGTCCATTTTAATGATAATAGCGCAGGTACGTCGTACGTTGTGGCCTCGCTACATGTGACGAGCTGACTATCACATCAGCTGGCCTTGCTCTACATTTGCGTTCGATACCGCCCACGCGTGAGCCCTGAAAACTTCGGGGCGTCGTCCCGCCCCCTTTCATTTTGGCAGTGGCATACATATACTCAATATATCGAGTTTCTTGCCGGGTACATGTGAGCGTTAGCCGCAATTTCTGCTCTTTCTACTTCATCGAGCCATCTAGTTTATGTTCAGCGATATTGTTCTTGATCTTTAGTCGATCGGAGCTATACGTGATGATATTAGGGTTTGTTGCCTTGGGACTGGAAAGCACGCTGCCTATTCCGCAGTTGATCAGGTAATCGACACCAGACGTCCACACGTTTGACTGACATTCCCTCGTGCAGTAATTACAAACAGCGATCACTGTATGGCTTCCGTGCTTCAACTCTCCTTGGATGGGTGGGGGGTGACTCGTTCAAGTAAGTTCTCTCGATACATTGCCTTGCTCCAGCGCCTTGACGTCGGATCAGGACTGTGTATTTTTTCCTTCAGGGCTCACCCCTGCAGTTCAAGGTATGTGCAGTGTTCCAATTGTCAGTAGACTGTGGTAAGTGTCTCTCCACTACACGAGTTGCTTGAACACGTCACTGAGCGCTTACCAAAGCCATCATCCTACAACGTCTTTACTATGGCAATGCAGCTCCACCGGCAACGCTCGAAGAGGGGGACGATCTTGAGCAGGAAGCTTTGGCACTGTCAGAAGAATAGAGTAGAGTGTTGGTACCGGTGGAATATATGATTTTATGTATTTACACCTTCCTATTTGTCGGTTTTCCCGCAGTTTGATCGTTTGCAAATGAGAGACAAATAAAGGTAAACTTTTATTACCTTACCTTCGTTAACCCAACACCCACGTCTCCTTCAACTGCGCCGTGTCCGGCTTTGACTTCTGCACTATGACCGATATTTCGAAGCCCATCACGTTCTGCGAGCATCTTCAGCTCTCAAGCTTGGCTATACAGCCAAGTTCAATTGGCTTTCAGGTACGCGCAACCCATTTGGCATCGTTGTTAGCAGAAGGAGACTTAATTATCCATGTGCGCTGGGCTGTATTGTAATGTTGCAGGTGAGTGTCGTGTGTGCAGCTGCGCTCAAAATGAGATGACTGACCTCGTGGGCTCGTATTTCATAGACCTTGACCCTGGAGTCCGACCACTTCATTTGCGTACGAGAGAAGATTAATGAGCAAAATCAAGTCGTCATCATCGACCTTGCGGATGCCAATAATGTCCTACGACGACCGATAAGCGCAGACTCTGCCATAATGCACCCTCACAACAAAATTCTTGCCTTGAAGGGTACGGTTATGTGTGCATTGCAATGGAGTGAATTGCTTAAAGCTCCCACTCTAGCTGCACGAACGCTTCAAATTTTCAACATTGAAACGAAGCAAAAAGTCAAGTCACACGTCACCACAGAAGATATCGTGTTCTGGAAGTGGGTCTCAGATACCACCATTGGTATGGTCACCGACACGGCTGTGTACCACTGGAACATCTCGGACCAGACTTCCCCACCTCAGAAAGTATTCGATCGGCATGCGACATTGACTGGTGCTCAAATTATCAACTATCGTGTGACCCCGGACGAGAAATGGCTGGTTCTCATCGGTATTACTGGCAACACGACGAATCCCTCGGCTTTCAAGGTCAAGGGTGCAATGCAGCTGTATAGTCGTGAACGGGGCGTCAGTCAACCTATTGAGGGGCATGCAGCTACTTTTGCGGAGCTGAAACTTGACGGGCACCAACACGTCACCAAATTGTTTGCATTTGCAGTCAGGACAGCGACAGGCGCCAAGGTTTGTTTTCTTGCGACTGCGAAGCGTGCGGAATACTCAACATTTTACTAGCTTCATGTCGTCGAGATTGATCACACAGCTCCCGATCCTCCCTTTGTGAAAAAGGCGGTCGATGTCTACTTCCCTCCAGAGGCTACCAACGATTTCCCAGTGGCAATGCAAGTATCGAAGAAACATGGCATCATTTTCCTGGTTACAAAATACGGTTTTATTCACCTGTATGACCTGGATAGCGGTGCATGTGTGTACATGAACCGCATCTCTGGTGACACCATTTTCGTCACTGCTGAGCATGAAGCGTCGAATGGTATCATTGGTGTCAACAAGAAGGGTCAAGTTCTTTCGGTCAGCGTTGACGAGCAGACCATCATTCCGTACATTTTGACCACCCTCAATAACACGGAGCTTGCTTTCAAGCTTGCCAGTCGTGCAAATCTCCCTGGCGCGGATGACCTCTACATTAAGCAGTACCAGCAATTGTTCTCTAGTGGACAGTACAGCGAGGCCGCAAAAGTTGCTGCGAACTCTCCTAGGGTAGGTCTTCAATTGTCGATCATTCTCTTCTTAATATACGTTGTCACGCAGGGTATACTCCGGACTGCGCAAGTCATCGAGTCCTTCAAACAAGCTCCAGCGCCTCCTGGTGGCTTGTCACCGATTTTGCAGTACTTCGGTATTTTATTGGAGAAGGGCGAGCTCAACCACTTCGAGTCCCTCGAACTCGCGCGCCCGGTGTTGCAACAGGGAAGGAAACAATTGCTTGAAAAGTGGCTCAAGGAAAACAAGGTGAGGTTATTCTTCTTTGTGTTTTGCTCTTGCTCAAGTTTCGTTTGAAGCTCACATGCAGCGAGGAATTGGGGGACATTGTGCGGTTACATGACATGACACTGGCGCTGAGCGTCTACCTACGAGCGAACGTTCCCAATAAGGTCATCGCTTGTTTCGCGGAAACTGGACAAACTGAGAAGATCGTTCTATACTCAAAGAAAGTTGGTTACACCCCGGATTATATTTCTCTTTTACAGCATATCATGAGGACAAATTCAGAGAAGGGGGCCGAGTTCGCAAGTCAGTTAGTGAATGACGAGAACGGGCCGCTCGTGGACATGGAAAGGGTAAGGCTACTTCCTATCTATGTGATCGTCGGCCCCTTATTTGTCATTTTCCTAGGTGGTCGACATCTTCATGTCGCAAAATATGATTCAGCCTGCAACCTCGTTCCTTCTTGATGCATTGAAGGACAACAAACCTGAGCAAGGCCATCTGCAGACTCGCTTGCTCGAGATGAATCTCGTTCATGCTCCTCAAGTTGCAGATGCCATCCTCGGCAATGAGATGTTCACCAACTATGATAGACCCCGAATTGCCAATCTTTGCGAGAAGGCAGGCTTACTCCAACGAGTGAGTAAAATTTGTCCGTGAACGCTGATCATGTCTCATTTATCTGTGGGAAGGCACTGGAACACTATGAAGACCTAGCGGACATCAAGCGCGCTATTGTTCATACCAGCGGTCTCCAGCCGGAGGTGAGCTCTCGATTTATTACTTTCGACAGGAGGTGGGGACCTGACATTTCCGAAGTGGCTAGTGAATTACTTCAGTCGTTTAACAACAGAGCAGTCCATGTCATGCATGCAGGAGATGCTGCGCGTTAACATCCGGCAGAACTTGCAGGTTGTAATCCAGATTGCTACCAAGTACTCTGACATTTTGGGTCCTGTGAAGCTCATCGAGATGTTTGAATCCTTCAAGACATTTGAAGGTGATTTCCGTCACATGTGACTAGGTTGAATGGTCAACGAGTGCTAACTATAATGCAGGCCTCTACTACTATCTTGGGTCCATCGTTAATCTCAGTGAGGATCCCGAAGTGCACTTCAAGTACATCCAGGCCGCTACTCGCACGGGTCAAATTCGTGAGGTCGAGCGAATCTGCAGAGAGAGTAATCACTACAACCCTGAGAAGGTCAAGAATTTCCTGAAGGAGGCGAAGCTCCCGGATCAACTTCCCCTTATCATTGTCTGTGACCGCTTCGACTTCGTACACGACCTGGTTCTGTACCTGTACCAGAATGGACTCACGAAGTTCATTGAGGTGTATGTGCAGCGTGTTAACTCAGTCCGAACGCCTCAGGTTGTTGGGGGTTTACTCGATGTGGATTGCGATGAGACCACCATCAAGGGTTTACTTGCCTCCGTCACTGGGAATTTCCCCATTGATGAGCTTGTGAATGAAGTTGAGCAACGCAACCGTTTGAAACTCATTCTGCCTTGGCTGGAGGCTCGCGTGCAGTCTGGTAGCCAGGACCCAGCGGTCTTCAATGCCTTGGCCAAGATTTTCATCGACAGCAACAACAACCCGGAAACGTTCTTGAAGGAAAACAACGTGAGTCATACAATCTGGCGAATGAGTTTCGCCGGCGTGCTCACTTGCTTGTTCCATAGTTGTATGAGCCACTGGTTGTCGGAAAGTTCTGCGAGGCCAGGGACCCCTACCTTGCCTACATCGCCTATGCAAAGGGCTTCTGTGATGATGAACTTATTGGTATTACCAACGACAACTCCATGTTCAAGCAGCAGGCTCGGTACCTCGTGAAACGTCGCCAGCCTGAGCTTTGGGCACAGGTTCTTGTCCATGATAATATTCACCGCAGGGCTCTCATCGATCAGGTGAGATTAAATTGAACAAATTTGACCACGTATTCTTAGAAGCTCACTCTGCATTGAATAGATCGTCGCGACTGCACTCCCAGAGTGCACGGACCCTGATGATGTCTCAATAACCGTCAAGGCATTCCTCTCGGCTGATCTCCCCATTGAGTTGATCGAACTTCTCGAGAAAGTAGTCATCGAGCCCTCTCCGTTCAGCGACAATCGCAATCTCCAGAACCTGCTTCTCCTGACCTCAATCCGCGCAGACAAGGGGAAGGTCGTTGGCTACATCAACAAGCTCCAGAACTACGACGCCGGAGAGATAGCAAAGATTGCGACCGATCATGGATTGTATGAAGAGGCACTGACGATCTACAAGAAATACGATCAGCATGCAATGGCTATCAATGTTCTCGTCGAGCATATCGCCTCCATTGACCGTGGTTTAGACTACGCGAACAAGGCCAACAAGCCAGAAGTGTGGAGTAGACTTGCCAAGGCTCAGCTTGATGGTCTTCGCATCAAGGACGCCATTGGTGAGTCATTTGTAATTGCTCGTCTGTATTGTCATTTATGTTTTTCTCCAGACTCATATATCAAGGCTGAGGACCCATCCAACTTCGCTGAGGTCATTGAAATCTCGAGTCACGCTGGAAAACATGATGATCTTGTTCGCTTCCTCCAAATGGCTCGCAAGACACTTCGCGAACCTAGGATTGACACAGAACTTGCTTATGCTTATGCTAAGACTGACCGTCTCCATGACATGGAGGACTTCTTGTCCATGACCAATGTTGCTGACATCTTGGAGGTCGGAGAGAAGTGCTTCGAGGACGAATTGTACCAGGCTGCCAAATTACTGTTCACCAGTATCTCAAACTGGGCACGTCTTGCCACGACTCTCATTTACCTTGGCGAGAATCAAGCGGCTGTGGAAAGCGCCCGGAAAGCCGGAAACACTCAGTACGTTCATTCTTTCAAAGCGTTGATCTTGAACTAACTCTACCTAAGGGTTTGGAAGCAAGTTCATGCTGCGTGTATTGAGAAAGCTGAGTTCAGACTCGTCAGTGATTTTATAAATGAAGTTCAATTGGTCGTATTCTGACTATCGTCACAGGCCCAAATTTGTGGCTTGAATATCGTCGTTCACGCGGTCAGTTAGCATTATAATAATTATGCCCCACACTCACTATCAATTTAGGAGGAAGTGGCTGCCCTGCTCCGGTCTTACGAACGTTGGGGCTACTTCGATGAGGTTCTGTCCTTACTTGAAGCTGCTTTGAGTTTGGAGCGAGCGCACGTAAGTGCTCAAGACGTCTGTCATTGTCAGCTCTAATTATTTGGACAGATGGGTATCTTCACCGAGTTGTCGATCCTATACAGCAAATACAGACCGGGCAAACGTAGGCATATAGTTTTCTCCATAACAGAATCTCATGTCCGTTTAATTAGTGATGGAACACCTCAAGCTTTTCGTCTCGAGAATCAACATCCCCAAGGCAAGGTGTCACGCACATTATCTTGGCATGCATACTCAGACCCTATATAGGTCATCAAAGCCACTGAAAAGGCTCATCTCTGGCCCGAGTTGGTTTTCCTATACATCAAATACGACGAATTTGTACGTGTTCTTGTCACCAACTCTATTAATAAATACTTATGGTTGGTTGTTCCAGGATAATGCGGCTTTGGCGATGATCGAACGTTCAGCTGATGGTTGGGAACACAACCAGTTCAAAGAAGTTGTTGTTCGGGCTGCCAATGTCGAAATGTGGGTTATCGCAGATCTGACTATGCTCCTGGCTAGAACAATTTTCTAGATATTACAAGGCGCTCACATTCTATCTTCAAGAACAACCGACGCTTTTGACTGATCTTCTCACTGTCCTCATTCCCCGCATTGAACACGCGCGGGTTGTCCGTATGTTCCGCCAGATAGATCATATTCCCTTGATTCGGGCATATCTCATTGCCGTCCAGCATGTAAGCCACTTTGCGCCTGTTGTCTTCTCTATGCGAGAGCTGATCGCTCGAGTAGCTGAATATTGAGACCGTGAACGATGCATACAACGACCTCCTCATAGAAGAAGAAGACTATAAAACGCTCCGAGATTCTATCGACAGCTTTGACAACTTCGACAATATTGGTCTTGCACGGCGCTTAGAGCAGCATGGTCTGCTGGAATTCAGGAGACTTGCAGCACATCTGTACAAGGTACATGATCGTTTGGGTATACAATGATGTGAAACTGACACTGACTTTCGTATTTAAGAAAAACTCTCGCTGGGAAGAGTCAATATCTCTCTCAAAGCACGATCAGTTGTATAAGGACGCTATTATCACTGCCGCCACCTCCACTTCAACGGACGTCGCTGAAGATCTACTCTCTTACTTCGTTGATATCGGCAACAAGGAGTGCTTCGCTGCCATGCTATACGTTTGCTTCGACCTTCTTCGCCCAGATGTTGTGGAGGAGCTGTCATGGCAGCACGGTCTTAATGATTTCTACATGCCATACAAAATCCAAGTATCAAGGACCATGCGCGAGAAGTTGGCTGCATTAGAGAAGGAGGTCAAGGAGCGCACCAAAAAAGAATCCGCCAAGGAGCAGCAAGAAGCTGAAGCCCCGATTATCAATCCTGCTAACCGTCTGATGATAACCAATGGGTAAGCAAGATCCTGGCGAGTTCACATGCTTGATTTAATGAACGAGTCTTAGATATGTTGGTCAGCCCCCACCAATGCCAATGGCAAATGGTAACGGCATGGTTGGTATGATGCCTGTGAGTTTCCCCGCGTACTTGGAGTTCCGTATGGCTAACTTAATACTACTCAGGCTATGACCGGCTTTGGATTCTGATCTTTTTTATGTGGACTATTACCCTCTACCGTAGTACATGCTTGAGATTTGCTGTAATGAATGTTTTTCGTTGTCGTAAGCTGTCTGGTGTGTGCATGTGAATGTTGTCTATTTGTTTATCTGTAAGTATATTTACTTTTGATTGTTTGCTCATTTTTGTGACGTGAAGACCGATCCCGATTCAGCGAGGCTCCTTTTTTAACGACCCCCACGCGGTTCAAGCTTCAAGTCCAGTTTGCACCAAGGATTGTAGTTCAATGGTCACAACAAGATCAGCCACTCGTGTAGTCCGCAATGACTCCCCAAGAGTAATGGTTTCAAATCCAGAAAGGCTTGTCCTTCAAGCTAGTACTAGTGACGAGGATTCAGAAGACCCTGATATTACTCCGCGCCACGTCAAGAAAAGATCCAGGAAAAGCGTGGGCCACCGTGCCAAAACAAAGTTGAAGCGCCGTGGACGACTCGACCTAATGCCTACCATGAACTTGGATATTCTATTTCATGTCAGGCTCGAGCCTACAAATTTTTAATGCAAGGCTCATGAGCTCATACAGATACTCAGTTTTCTCCTTCCAGTGGACCTTTTGAATCTATCCCGAACCAGCAAGGACTTCCGAAATTTATTGCTGCAGCGATCATCCGCTTCTGCTTGGAAAACTGCCCGTCTCCAGGTTGATGACCTTCCCGATTGTCCCCAAGACATGAGTGAACCACAGTATGCAAATCTTGTTTTTTACCCTCATTGCCATGTGCGACGAGCCTTATCGAAAGTTCCACCACCATTTCTCACCAATGTGTACTGTAGGATTGCGACAGAGTTGTCCGATCTGTTTTATGGCCACTTCGGGCACGATACTGCCCCAGATGCATCGGTGAAAAGTTGGTCATCTTGGCTCAGGCTCGTCAACCCTTATATTTACACTGCGCATAGCACTCTTGATCAGTGGAGCCCACGAAGCAGCATCCCATGGACGGTAAATATCAATTCATATGACTTACCACATGCCAATATATACGGAACGGGTAGGCCTACCTTGATCTGCATCACCGTCACATTCGTCTTCTTACGACGCTTCAGGTCGACCCAAGCAACTGTTCCTCAAGAAGGCATTTGATGAACTGCTTGCCGAGCACTCGAAGACGCCAGCGGACGAGCTGGCAGCTTTGTCGTCTAAGAAGCGAAACTATGCTGCTGAGGTTATGAAAGTAGGTCGTTGAACTTGTTATACCCTAGTTATGCAATTACATCTTCATTCCAGCATGCAGAGCAATGTCAGCAGTGGTCACAGTCTGTCGCAAGTTCTCGCAAACATGAACTTGACGCCATTAGACGCGGTCGCCAGGACGAGTATGTTAGCTACCACTTTTTTTGTATGCTCCAGCCTTGACTGATTCGCAAACTTAGTATTGTGATTCGCCTTGCTGAAGCAGGCTACGAGCCTGAGTTGGACTATGTGAGTAGATTTTGGTTGCAAGATCATCTTGGGACATCGTTCAAGGAACCAAAACCTCTTAATCAAAAATGTGAGTATATCATCGAATTGTTAAAATTAGGTATACATCTCCTTGCTACCAGCGTGGGATCGTATGCGCCCAGGTTTGATTACAGCGCTCGATGATGTCAGGATCCGTCGCATAGAAGCTAAAGTCTACGGTCCTCGGCGCCAGATTCTGATGGATGAATACAAGAAGTACCTCCAGCGCCCCCCTCCCCCGGACGCAGCATTTGACATGATGCCACACGCTGTTGATGTTGCAGAGTTCGACCCCTTCAAAGTTCTCATCACGTCACCTGAATCAGCCACAATTACCGCGACTTCATTCATCTCTGCTTTTCAGCAGCTCCCGAAATTCATATCCTCCTGGAGAGCCAAAATCGATTGCGAATTTTTAGACCTGATCCGTAGTCCACAAAGCGAGGACGATAGTGGAAGACAGGAGGATGCGGATTGCCTGCAGCTGGCGACCGCTGTATTTATTGTTCAATCTGGCAGTGACCGTCGTCTACTGATGTATCCCGAAGTGCTGTCGTGGCCTGGATTTTTTGCCCCGGCATCCATCACACTGGATGACGAGGTATACCTTCTACAAGTGAAACAGTTCGGGTGCCGGATGTGGTCCGCCGTCAGACATCATCCTCGGATCAGTATCTTCGAAGGAACTGCAGCTGTTGTTCAGGCCGCCAGTCTTGACCCGAAGACTACGCGTCGAGAGGACATGGATCGACTGGATGCTCGCTTTGCATGCGGAAAGTGTTCCACGCCGGGCAAAAAGGTGGTTATGACATGGGACATGGCGGTAAATGAAATTTACGCGGATTTTTGCGATCATCCATGCTCATCGGTTTGTCGTGACAGGTGATGCACAGCTATCGCTTGCATAGAGATCTGCAACCTGAAGAGATCCAGTGGACAATGATAGAGGGTGACGAGTTGGAAAATGTCAAAGATTATGAGAAAGAAGGCAAACCTCCTGTGAAGGCAAATGCTATCGTGTATTGCGCCTTGTGCCAGCATCATGTGCGCGATGCCATGTCACTTATTTTCATCCAGAATCATCTGGTTGAGATGTGGGTCCTTTCCTCATTGGAAGTATATTTATGCTAACACTGTCAACAGTCATGGGATTCCCTCGGATAAGGCAGAACAAGGCGCACACTACATTCCTGACCGCAATTCAACATCTGTGATTTCTATGGTTGTGGACAGCGACGGCAATGTATCAAACCATACTGATCATCGCTTAGTTCCGTCGTACTCCAGCGGTATAGAAATCCTTTACTGGAAGAGTCACAGTCACTTGGTGTAGTACATAATTCATATCCGCCTCATACTCTACAATCATCGCTGAATACTTATTGTACAAGATTAACTATGATCTGAACATACTATACTTTGTTGCTACTTTCTTCTGAAGGCTTGCAACCACCGGAATCACCACAACAGCGCTTGGGAGCTGTACTGGGCTGCTGCATGACATTGGGGATAGGTTGTTTTTCTGCGTTCGGTTCCTCCTGTCCACAACAGCGCTTGGGAGCTGTACTGGGCTGCTGCATGACATCGGGGATAGGTTGTTTATCTGCCCTCCGTTCCTCTTGTCCACAACAGCAGCCGCCATTGAATTTATCATTACTCGCCCACCTAATCATCTTAAAGCCCTCCCAACCAAAAAGCATAGCAATCACGATGGAAGTCGCGGAGTCGACCCACCATCCGCCACGCCAGACACGGTATATGAGGGAACCAATCAATAGCGCACTGCTAAACTGGATGCACGACAAGGTACAAAGCGCCTCGCCGTTCATCGTACTGGAGTTTAGCGCCTTTGCAAGGTAGCGCTTCGGTATCCAGAACAAGAACATGATGAAGGTAGCACTCGCAGCGATGATGAGTGATGCGTTAGATTGACTGGGGTGTTCATGGGCGATAAGGGAGGCGATGGATGTACCCACGGCTGCTAGGGCAAGCATTGCGAGGAGAATCCCTATGCCCAAGGTTGCTATCCTCTCTATCCTGCTGTGTGTCAGCGAACGGAAGATGGCAGATGGGGAAAGCATGCAAACCTCAGGTCTTTAATCATTCTAACTTCAGATCCATCGTCGCTTTCTTCACCAGCTTTGAGTCCGTTCATAAATCTCCAAACCACGAGTGAGGCCGAGAGCACTTCGATTACCGATTGAATGCCAAAGAAGATAAGAGAGTGCGAGGACGATTCTGCACCAAAGACCACGGAGACGACGCCTTCTGCGATATTATAGATTAAGCTAGCGATGCTGATGGCGATGGCGCTTTGCTGCAAGAAGTGGCGTGAAACCATGGTGGTGTAGGGCTGACGCGTGATTGATCGGTTTGGTTGTTCTTATAACGAAGGACTCGGAGCAGATAACCCTCTCGCGTAACTCTCGCTGCGAATATAGCTCATGCGGCGGCCGCCAGACTACAGCTCACGGGTTCAGTACCTCAAGCTGGCCCCTTGAAATGCTATTGGATGTTTGCTACCGACGAGCCCATTTGTTATCGGACATGTTGCCACAATTTAGAGACCTAGGACGTGGTGATCATTTTAGAGGGTATCAATTTGAATCATGAGATTATTATCGACCGTGTTCGACTCGGACTCTTGAATATGGAAATTTGTGTTGTCAACTTGTCATACGTATGTTATGTTTCGTGCTACGGAAGTTAAATCAATAAGTAATCAATAGAGTAGCCTATACTTAATCTGACATTCGAAAATGTTTTGTTATTGAGACCCTCTAGAGAATTGTATTTTCTCGAAGACTTGAAGCTGCAGTTGTTGAGCGCATGAAGTTCTGCAACTCAACGTGCTTGGAGATCTCGCCTTTGGATGATAGATCGAATGCCATCGAAGAGCAGGTGAACTTGAAGTCTTGAACGACTCGGAGCGATGCTTCCGGCTGCTGTGCAGACTCCGACAAGAAAGTCTCTATTGGCACACGAAAAGAGCGGACTGCACGTGGAGATACACAGGTGATGACTCGGAACGTTCAGCAGTACCTTTCGATTCATATAGATGATGTCTGGCACGCTTGTGAACTTGAACCTTTGACATCCCCTTAGTCCCTCAGCCAATCTCTTGAGATAACTCCTTGTTCCCCACGTCTCCCGTGTTTATTGAGCGCCGTTATACATGGTCATTCGAGTATACCACTAGCTAGGTAATGATGCCATCAAGAGTCAAGACAACGTCGCAAAGTTGGACTCCGAATCGGGTCATAACATCACGTGCCGAGGGGCAAAGCTTACGTAATACAGGACGAAATTCGCGAGCGCGCGTAACACGTATTCAAATTTCAACTGCAGGGACGATATTTTTGAGTATCTTACGACTCTGTCTTGTCCCAGGCTCCAACTACCAGGCTCGAGTCTAATACAGTCTCCATTTTTAGTCTTTTTCTACTCGGCTTCAGGCACACATGGGAAGCTCAAAGGAATCTTCAGAGGATCAAGACCTGGCAGAGTTGCGGCGCAATTTAGCCACCGGAAACCAGACAGACACTGGAGATGCTAGCTCCGCCAGTGAGTTGCTGATATGCCTTGTGTTTACTGATTGCTCAACTGCGGGGTGATGTATAGTTCCTTCCGTAGTATGCTATTGCCTAGCGTCAATCATGATGACAGTCGTGAACAAGGTCACAGGCAACATCCTTTCATCATGCTCAGTCTCTGATAGCGTGATTTAGTTCGTAGTGTCTGGGAGTCAATTTAACATGACTTTTCTGCTGCTATCAATGCAGAGTATAGTCTGCGTTGCGTGCGTGATCGCAGCTAAGAAGTCGGGTGTAATATCATTCCGCGATTTCGACATGCAAGATGTCAAAGCATGGTATCCCATCAGCTGTCTGCTGGTCAGTGTAATCTATACCGGTTCGAAAAGTCTGGTGAGTACCACCGAACAAGAGTCTCAATTCGTACGTCATGTGCTAACAGCCTCGCCGCAGCAATACCTCAGTATACCCGTTTATACCATTTTCAAGAATCTGACGATTATACTTATTGTACGGCTATTGTTCTTGGTCATGAATATATTGAGGCTTACGCGAAACTAGGCATACGGGGAAGTCCTGTGGTTCGGCGGACGAATTACAGCACTTACGATGGTCGCCTTCATTTTTATGGTGAGTGGCCTCATGATTACTCAAGTGGATAGGGTTTATGGGCCGATTTTATGACAGGTGTTATCTTCTATATTGGCCGCGTTTACGGATGTCAACAATGCCATAGGTGGCACCGAGAACATTCCACCAGCGAGCGCCGCCATGGGTATTGGTTTAGACATGATGTCAAACATGGTTTCTAGGCTGAATGCGGGGTACGTATGGATGTTTGTGAACTGCTTGATGAGTGCTGCCTACGTAAGACTCCCTGCCCTGATGGTGTCCCTGAGCTGAATGTCGGCTTCATTGCCTAGGTTCTTCTTATGCGCAAGCGCATAAAAGTTACTGGCTTTTCTGATTGGGATTCGATGTTCTATAATAACTTGTTATCGATCCCTGTCTTGGCGGTGTTCTCTATTGTTGTGGAGGATTGGGGCTCAGAGAACCTCGTTAGAAACTTGTACGACGCCTCATCACCAGCAAGACTGCAGAATAGTTACTGACCCTTGCTTGATCCAGCCCACTCGAGACACGCAACGTTCTTATGTCCGCTATCGCATTTTCGGGTGCGGCTGCAGTTGGAATTTCGTATTCTACGGCATGGTGTGTGCGCACCACGAGTAGTACCACTTATAGGTACGGATACAGGGCTTCTAGTACTCTAAGCAGGCCCCAGCTAATGACAACCACAGCATGGTCGGAGCTCTCAACAAACTCCCTGTTGCGGCTTCAGGTATGCTCTTCTTTGGTGATGTAGTAACAGTCGGATCGGTGTCGGCGATCGGAATGGGGTTCTTTGCAGGAGTCGTGTATGCGATAGCGAAGAACAACCAGAAAAAGATGGAGAGCCGGCCTCAAGCAACCACTATCATACCCCTGTCAAACAGGTAGAACTTCATCGGCAAGTGCACATACTTCTCGATTTCATCATATCACGGTGTTTCTGTATATCCCGAGCATCTTGGACGGACCAATAGAACTACTTACGTTAGAGCTCATAGTGTGGTCTCTCGCGAGCTGCCGAACAAACGCCATTTGATGATAGTGATGGGGTTAAGAGACAAGAGGTGGAGATGATGGGGTAAGGTCCACTTTAAACCCGGAGGTTTGTTCATGATCTTGAGAGCCAAGATTATAAACATGTGCCAGTGAAACAAAGATACATGCTGTAGGATGTGGCCAATGCGGACGGATCACTGCGGATTACGGCCCTCTCGTGATTTCATATGGTCCGATTAGATTATTTAGGCTAAGCGCCCAAATCAAACTGGTGATAATCAAAATCCCCGCAAGTTTGAACCTGTTAGCTTTGTACTACCTACCATCTCACCATCCCTGACTAGGCCAAGCTCTCTAACAATCTCCCACTTTGCTATAGCATTCTTTTGACTTCTAACCAGCATGGCTACTTCGACTCAGTTACCGCTCCACCCGCCGAGGCTGGCACATACGTTCGTGGGGACGCCCAGCGCCCCCGGTACGCCAGTGCACTCTATTCAAACTATGAGAAGGAAATCCGCTGGTCACAGTGGTCCTCTCACCAAGATTCTCGTCGCTAATCGTGGTGTGCGCTTAGATCTGTCTTAGATGTCTTCCGTCGCTTAGATATCTCATTTACAGGAAATCGCTATTCGAGTTTTCCGTACCGCTCATGAGCTCGCTATGCACACCGTCGCGATCTACTCGTTCGAGGATCGTCTCTCGGCTCATCGTCAAAAGGTATCTGAATGATACGATGCTTGATCTATCGAACGTTGCTCATCAGACATCAATTAGGCCGATGAAGCGTATCAAGTCGGCAGGGGGCTGACCCCCGTCGGCGCATATCTTCGCCCAAGAAGATATCATCCGCATCGCTCTTGAACATGGGGTTGACATGATTCACCCTGGGTGTGCTTCCTTCATATCTCCTCCGCTATATTTGGCTGACTATTGTTCAGGTACGGTTTCTTATCTGAGAATGCTGAATTCGCTCGCAAAGTTGAGCAGGCTGGGATCGCATTTGTTGGGCCAACGCCCGAGGTTATTGATGGTCTTGGCGACAAGACGAAAGCGCGTACACTTGGTGGGTGATTGCTTGAAGATCGGTTCCATATATGCTGACTAGAATGGTCCCATCAAGCTATGAAGGTCGGTGTTCCAGTTGTTCCCGGTACACCTGGCCCGGTTGCCTCATACACGGATGGTGATGCATTCATCAAAGAATACGGTTTCCCAGGTCTGTCGATATTCTCCTTTTTGCTTCCTTCTGACGCCATTTCGCCGCATATAGTCATTATTAAAGCTGCTATGGGTGGTGGCGGCCGCGGAATGCGTGTGGTTCGCGAGCAATCAAACTTCAAAGATGCGTTCGAACGTGCCGTATCTGAGGCTAGATCAGCCTTCGGTGATGGTACTGTCTTTATCGAGCGTTTCCTTGAGCGTCCCCGTCACATCGAGGTCCAAATCCTTGCCGACGGTATTGGCAACACGATTCACTTGTTTGAACGTGACTGCTCCGTCCAGAGACGTCACCAAAAGGTCGTCGAGGTCGCACCTGCAACCCACCTCCCCGAGGAAGTGCGTCAGGCCATCTTGTCGGACGCGATCAAGCTCGCGAAGAGCGTCGGATACAGGAATGCTGGAACCGCGGAGTTCCTTGTCGATCAAATGGGAAGGCACTACTTCATTGAGATCAATCCTCGTATTCAAGTTGAACACACCATCACTGGTACGATTTCCAGACATGAATTAGAGTGCTTCTAGCATTGCTTACTTGAAATGCAGAGGAGATTACTGGTATCGACATTGTTGCGGCCCAGATCCAAATTGCTGCCGGTGCTACCCTACCTCAGCTTGGTCTGAGTCAGGAGGCCATCACCCGTCGTGGGTTTGCGATCCAGTGCCGTGTTACTACGGAGGATGCGGCTACTGGTTTCCAGCCCGATACTGGCAAAATCGAGGTGTACCGCAGTGCTGGTGGAAATGGCGTTCGTCTCGATGCGTCCTCTGGCTTTGCAGGTGCACAAATCACGGTATGTGTTCAACCGTATCTTGCGTTTGGAGCCATTCTGAACTCGTTTCCCTGGGCAGCCCCATTATGACAGTCTGTTGGTGAAGTGCACTGTAAGTGGCACAACCTACGAAGTTGCTCGCAGAAAGATGTTGCGTGCCTTGGTCGAGTTCCGTATTCGCGGTGTCAAGGTAATTGCCCCTTAGTCTTCGTATGGAAATGCGTCTGACATTGCCGATAGACAAACATTCCCTTCTTGTTCCGTCTCCTCACCCACGATGTCTTCATTGGTGGCAAGACATGGACCACTGTAAGTCATCACGTAGAAATAAGGATCTTAAGACGCACTTTTGAACATTTGCATCACGTTAGTTCATCGATGACACCCCTGAGCTCTTCAAGCTGGTGCAGAGCCAGAACCGTGCACAGAAACTCCTTTCATACCTTGGTGACCTTGCAGTCAATGGAAGCTCTATCAAAGGTCAGACCGGCGAGCCAGGCCTTAAGGATGATGTTGTCATTCCCAAATTCGATAGCCGTGACGGTCCGGATGGCACACCCCTTGACACTACGTTCCCTTGTGAGGTTGGATGGCGCAACATTATCGTCGAGAAGGGTCCCGAAGCTTTCGCAAAGGCCGTCCGCGAATACCCTGGAACGCTCATCATGGACACAACTTGGCGTGATGCGCATCAATCGCTGCTCGCTACCCGCCTTAGGACGATTGACATGGTCAACATCGCCAATGAGACCAGCTATGCCCTCGCGAACGCATTCAGTTTGGAGATGTGGGGCGGCGCTACCTTCGATGTTGCCATGCGCTTCTTATACGAAGACCCTTGGGAACGTCTGGTGCGCGATTTGCGATATGTTGGAGGAGCTCGAACTGACATTTGTACAGCGCACCCTGCGCAAGCTAGTACCCAACATCCCCTTCCAGGCTCTCGTTCGTGGAGCCAACGGTGTCGGATACACAAGCTACCCGTGCGTACCGTCTCATTTCTGCCTGATGTCCGGCTGATTTCGTGTAGTGATAATGCGATCTATGACTTCTCGAAGAAGGCGGTCGAGAATGGTCTTGATATCTTCCGAGTGTTCGACTCGCTGAACTACTTTGGTGAGTGGTACCATTACCGAATAGTCTTGATTGTTGACGTATTTCCATAGAGAACGTGAGGCGAAGTGAATCATTCTCATGAAATTCTACTCACATTCATTTTAGATGAGACTCGGTATCGATGCCGCTAAGAAGGCAGGAGGTGTTGTTGAGGCTGTTGTCTGCTACAGCGGCGATGTCGCAAGCCCAAAGGAGACCAAATACACTCTGCAATACTACCTTGACTTCGTTGAAAAGCTGGTGGAAGAGGGAATTCACATCCTTGGTGTCAAGGACATGGCTGGTTTGTTGAAACCTGAAGCTGCGAAATTGTACATCGGCAAGCACTTTTTTGTACAATTTGCACACGCTAACACATTTGTAGGCTTATCGGCGCGATCAGGGAGAAGTACCCTGACATTCCAATCCACGTTCACTCACATGACACGGCTGGAATTGCAGCAGCTAGCATGCTCGCCGCGGCGGCAGCTGGTGCTGATGTCGTTGATGTCGCCATTGATAGTGAGTTGCTGTCATCTGCGAATGTCGAGCTAGATGTTCAAGAATTCCAATAGGTATGTCTGGTCTGACATCACAGCCCTCAATGGGAGCCGTGTGCATGGCACTTGAGCAAACGCACTTAGGGACGGGCATCCGCTACGCCGACATCCAAGCGCTAAACTTGTATTGGAGCCAGGTTCGCATGCTCTACAGCTGCTTCGAAGCCAATGTCCGGGCCTCGGATTCGAGTGTCTTCGACCACGAAATGCCAGGAGGTCAATACACGAATCTCATGGTGAGCGTGGTGTCTGGAATGTATTTAGATTTAGTGGCTGATCGATCATATAGTTCCAAGCGTCGCAATTAGGTCTCGGCACACAGTGGACTCGTGAGTGTCTTTCTTATCAGTTAGTAACTTACGTTTTTCGACTTTCCAATTCCAGAAATCAAGCAGAAATACATCGAGGCCAACCAACTGGTACGTTATTCTGCGCGTCATTTCCCACTCCATCTGAATCGTTCCCTTCAGTGTGGCAACATTGTCAAGGTATGCAATTATCTGTTTAACTTCGTGCAAACCCTAACAGAACCGTTAGGTCACGCCCTCGTCTAAAGTAGTTGGCGACTTCGCGCAATGGATGACGTCAAACTCGTTCTCCAAACAGGACGTCATTCAACGTGCAGACCAGCTAGACTTCCCCTCCTCTGTTGTCGAGTTCTTCCAGGGCTATCTTGGACAACCTGTGGGAGGTTTCCCTGAGCCACTTCGTTCGAATATTATCAGAAACAAGCCAAGAATTGATGGACGTCCTGGTGCAACTATGGCACCCTTGGACTTCAAGAAGATCAAGGCAGAGCTCCGCAGCAAATTTGGGAAGCACATCACGGATGCAGATGTTACCCTCGTATGTCATGTATCCCAAAGTATGTCGTGCCTTGCACTCCCGCGATGCATATTCTGAAGTCATGTTAACTCCGTCAGGTCTTCGAAGAATATCAGGGCTTCCTTGAGAAATATGGAGATCTCAGGTGAACCTCATGACGCCGTGTGATGATCAAAGATGGATTTATCCTTTCCCCAGCGTTCTTCCCACGCGGTACTTCTTGGGGCGACCGGCTATTGGAGAGGAGATGCACATCTCGATCGAAAAAGGAAAGACTCTGATTATCCGCCTGATGGCCGTGGGGCCTGTTGTGGAAGGACGTGCCCAACGTGACGTCTGGTTCGAAGTTAACGGCGAGGTCGATAACAATAGTATATGACATGCGAAGATTTTGCTGACATTTCCCCTGTACCGCAGGTTCGGGCTGTGTCTGTCGAGGACAAAAATTCCGCAGTAGAAACAGTTTCGCGGGAGAAGGCGACGTCTGACCCCGGATCAGTGGGTGCACCTATGTCAGGTGTCGTGGTTGAGGTCAGAGTGAAGGAGGGCCAAGAAATTAAGAAAGGCGACCCTCTTTGCGGTAAGGATTATCCGCATTCTTTGATTTTCTATCTGACACGAGCCTTTTTCGTCTAGTACTGAGTGCGATGAAGGTATGTGTGAAACGCTTTGAAAATGACGACCTGCTGACGTTTGGTTTACCACAGATGGAGTCTGCTGTTACTGCACCTGTCTCTGGTCATATTAAACGCGTCGTTGTCAATGAAGGCGAGCCTCATTCATTTTTCCGGAATACGGAGTTAGCTTAACAAATCTGTATAGGTGACTCCATCAATCAGGGCGACTTGACGGTGGAAATCGTCCATTAAGGCAAGAATCTTCTCCAGCATACGCGAACTGTTGTCTCGATTAGTTGTATCATAGTTCATGGAATATCAAACTATTACCGACGGAATCAATGGTGTTCCTGACGGTTATCTCTCAAAACGTTAACAGTACGCAGGGACATGCAGCAAAAAAAGATCCGTCCGAATAGGAAAGACAAATCATTGGTCCTGGCCAGGTTCACGGGAACCAACGAGTTTGCCCCTAGCTTAGGTGGCAATAAGTGTTGATACAAAACTTAAATGTTTCATCATATCTGTGTGGAGTTCCCGAACAACATCCTATACAAACATAGATCAACTGACAGCCTGGCACGTTGCAATTTAGCGAGTCAAACTCACCTGCGCAGTCTGAATTTCTGTGACCAAGTCAACTCCAGTACCTGCCCAAACCAACATTTTTTCAGGATCCCTATCCTGTGTTGCCCTGTTGAAATTCTCTCGAACAACTTCGATGTCGACACCATCATCTACATCTTTCACTGTCTTGTTATAAATGGCACGACCGTCAACACCTTCCGGCCATTCCAAAGTTCCCCTAGCACGGTCAAATGCCATCGTGCGCACTGTGGCATTGCTACTGGCCATAACAAGCACATTCTTTTGCGCCTCATTATACAAGCTCTCTTTCGTCATCAAGAATCTAGTGCCAAGCACCACGCCAGAGACTCCGAGTGCAAGAAGAGCGGCAACGTGACCGCCGGTTGACAATCCACCGGCTGCAAGAAGTGGCGGGCCATCTTTGTGCAGCACTGCCAAGATAGATGGCACCAGCGTGAGAAGCGGTGGAGCGGCGCTATACCCATGCCCGCCAGATTCAGACCCTGCGACAATGCCCATGAGAGGAAAGTTCAAACCAAGCTTAAGGAGGTAGGGGAAAAACCTTGTGCTACCAAGACGTCAACTTTCCAGTCCTGGATGGCAATGAGAGCCTCTTTCGCTGAGGAAACCTGTACAAATATTAGAGTTTTCTGCCCCCGTCCGGAACTCGCATCATAAGAGCGAATGTAGTCGATCCATCGATCTATACTGTTCCCGAATGCGAGCCAGATGGCCTGAACCCCGTTCGAAAGGGAAACGTTAAGCAATCCAGCGGCAGAGGCGGGATCTTTCTCCAGTCGCCAAGCCAGATAACCCACACCGATTGGGAGAGGATCTGTATCGGATAGGAGAAGTTGCGCGCGAGCTAATGATAACTCTTCTTGAATTTGAGAAGAGGTCAAATATCCTTGATGATTTATTTAGAAAGTTACTCTCTAAAGGCGTGATGGTCTCCACCTGCACCGACAAATCCAAATGCTCCGGCAGCGGATGCCTGGGCCGCCAATGCTCCACCACTAGCCCCTGCCATGGGGGCAGCTACTATAGGGGTAGGTATACCTGTAAGTCTTCAAGCTTCAGACATGCAAATAAGGAACAAGTGAACACACCCACCCATCAGGACGGTGAAATCATTATGAATCTTCGACATATCGAGCGACACAGTACTAGTGGCGAGAACGAAAGCGTACTATAGGTCTATATATATGTATTGCGTATAAGTAATTCAAAAATGCTGTCGGGCGAAATCACCGACGCTAAATCATTGTTGGACCGGCAACTGACAAATGTTTCGCAAATCTGTCAGCATAATGTTTCAGCTGCGGTAGAGATCGTGCAATCGCCGGACAATCATATGAATAGAAATTGGTTATGTGCAAGCTGTGAATATTTAAATCGGTATTCAGCTGCAGTACTTACCGAGTGAATGGCGTTCAAGACTCAAGCTTGCAAGCTCAATGGGGTCAGATATTTGGTATTGTTTGTAGTCGTCAACTCTATCTCATTTCTTGTCATCGTCTGCATCTACAGACCATAATCCTGATCGACCATCATGGTAAGTCCTGATCAGAGCTTGTGCGCATGTTGTCTGATTATCTTTCCTCAGCCTCCCCCAAAATCCAAAGGAGGAAAAATGCTGGGCCTCATCAATTGGAGGCTCAAAGTGACCATCAATGACGGACGCGCGTTGACAGGCCAAATGCTCGCATTCGATAGGCATATGAACCTTGTCCTGGCGGACTGTGAAGAATTCAGACGCGTTCGACCCAAAAAAAAGGCCGGAGAAACTGAGGACACCTGCGGAGCAAGAGATGAAGCGCACATTGGGGCTTGTGATTTTACGAGGGGAGACAGTTGTCAGCTTAAGTGTCGAGGGGCCTCCACCAGTTGTAGACGAGGACAAAAAGAATGCGGTACGTTATGCTCTGCTAATTCTGAAATCAGGATCTTACATATGTGTTGAATTTAGCTGCCCGTTGGCCCTGGTCGTGGAATGCCGGCCGGCCGAGGAATGGGAATGATGCCTCCCAGTATGTTAATTAAGCCCTCGACGAAAATATGACGCTTATTATTTATTTAGTGGGTATGCCCCCGTGGGTCGTGCTCCAATGCCCTTTGCTCCACCAGGCATGCCCGGCCCCCCTCCTGGCTTCCGTCCTCCTGGTTTCCCTCCAGGTGCACCATTCCCCCCACCAGGCTTTGGTGGTCCCCCTCCCCCTGGGTATTGTCCTTTATTTAATTTCAGTGCACTGCTGATCTTAATTATTTTCCAGCTTCCAACCGCCTCCCCAGTGAAGCTATTGTTGCTCCTTGTTGTTTGATCATATTTGTTGTGCACGGCAGACGAAATCCCGAACGTAGAGGTGAAAGCAGGGCAATTGCAAGTAGTTTTGCCAAAATGTTCGTACGTTCGCAATAAGTACCTCCGAGACCTCTTAACTCCGAAAGGTTTGTTGTTGTACATTTCACTGACAAACCAACAGCACCGTCTCATATCGGTTGCCAGTTGGAGTCTGCTCATATTACTGGTTGTAGAATGTACAATTTTTGAGGGTTCTCCTTGTAAAGATGTGCTAAGTTGCTGTCTAAAAAAATGATGAGCTTCTCAGTTCTCAAGGCTATCTTTGGAAATTGCCTTCAAGGCCATGTTCTTCCTGGGTTTGTATTATTGTATCTGATATCTAAGTTCCTTCGTCTGGTTAGGGGAGACCAAGTTTGGGCATTGCTGCTAATCGTTGATGGAAGAGACACGAGCGAACATAGCGCTTTTTTTAACATTCGTTGGAGAACTTAGTCCCCATAGATAGTCACTCCTTATCATTTACTACAGTTGCCAGTGTCATACAAATTCCCGAATTTGCATATATGCGCAGTTCTTACATACAACATGGTTCTGTGTCGTTGATCAAATGCCTTCCTGGGTATGGCTGTGATGTCTTTTTTAATTTTGCGCTACTTCTATTTTTTTCTTCTCCTGAGTGCCTTCATCTTGTTTATGGAGGTTGATATGATTGTCAGTCCAACTTCTTTGTTCTTGTTCTTGTCAAGGTCAACTTGAACCCTCACCGAGATTACCCCGAGTTCGTGCTTCACATCGTGTCATTGCTAGAACCTTTGGTGGCCGAAGACCGTGGAATAGATTCTTCTATCAGCGCTGTACCGTTCACGAGTGCCAATGCACATACCATAGCTGCTGCAGCTGCTAGACTATAGCAAGTACTGCGAGTGTTCTATTTCCATATCCCGGCGCGTCATAATGATATCGATATCGGAACCATTCAAGTTGGCCACTAGCGTGGAATCATATACCTGTTCATCTGCCCCACCTCCACATCTCGTGGTCAACCCTGGACTTCCAATTCAACGTAAGTTCGTAATGCGGCGCCCTATGTGCTGATTTCGAGCCACCATGATGATGGAACATATCATGTCCTTCATATCAGCGCCGCCACTCCTAACCAAGATCAGGAAGAGGGAAAACACGACATCTTCTTTTGTTTGATTGAATCCTTATCGTCCTCTCACCTTGAGCGATACCTCATTGCCATCGTTGGATTGATTCTTCGTATTCTGACTATCGTATCTCATCCTCTTGGACCTTCGGTTTTTGGGGGTTCATCTCGGTGAGCTGTCCATCGTCACACGTGTTATCGGGTTTTTGCAATTGCACGAACTTGGATGATGTGCTGCGGGAGTCAAACACAATCATGTCCTTGGCGCAAGAAGTACGCATTGACGGGTATGATAGACCACACTCGCCGAGCTACTGTTTCGACCTGCTTAGAGTCTCAGACTCCAAGGGTATGTTCGTGACATCATATATGTGAAATTTTGACCTTGCGAGCCACTCAGACTTCTGCAACTAGAGAGCTGCGGCTGATAGACGAGCATCGTGACTACCGTCGCAACGGCATGCAGCCCATAACATCCGCCGGGCCGTTTAGAGCCAACTTAACTTCTTATTCCGCTGTTATTCGCTCTACTGCAATCAAGCTTGTTGGCCTTATCAATGACCCCCAAAACGTTACCTTCCCAGTTGGTCCCAAAGCGGACTAGTTCGACGACTGCGGAGGTTGTTAAGACCGCGCATGAAGCACCTGACTTGGTAACCCCTTGCCAAGTACCCAAAAGTTGAAATTCCTTGAATTTTAGGTTGGCACAGTAATTTAACATAGAGCCTTGCAATAGCAATAGCAAGCTCGGGCTAGACAATGATGAATATCGCGCTTCAATCACGCTGTCGGTTTGTGCTTGTTTGTCTTGGGCGACGCCACGCCAGACGTATACTATGTTATGTAGGTGCAATCAATCGGAGGCGCAACTTGCTGTCATGTGGCTGGAGCTTGATGCGCCATGTCCCCTGACTCTTGTCTGATATCTGATTCGAATCAGTTTTTCTGGCCAAGGTCCGGGAGCAACATGTTATAACTCCCGACGCTCGGCCCGTGGGCAGCACAGGTTCGTCGTTTTTTCATTCCGGAACAGAGGTTAATTGTTGTGAAGAATTCCCAGACCCTGTTTAGGTGCCCACCGTTCGGCATTTTATTGGATTCCGGTTGGGGTGGATGACCTCGGATGTTCAACGTCGAATCCTTGCATCTCTTCACTCCTTCACTTCGCCTAGCGACCAATGGAGCGCCCTGGAGCACCTCACGTAGGCGTGCTTACCTTTATCTACATGGATGTATATTCTTCCGCTGCCGACGCTGCACACGTGCGGAAAGTTGACCCGATGAGCGTCATGAAGTTTCAAGGCACTTCGTGCAAGTCGCGCAAATATATGGATATGCGACCTGAGAGATATGACGTGCCGGCATATCATGATGGGCCTACTAGTATTCATCCCTGAGCTCATCTATGAGCCCTGATCGGACATAGATTCACGGTTATCATGGCTGCCAGCTGGCTGGCGCAAGTTTTTTGCTCGGCAGGCCGGAGCTTGCAAACGACATCACGCTAACTCCGCCCAAAACAATTGTGCTGAAGTGTCGCTGGTGCCTTGGTGGACTGTTGCGTAAGCAAACCATCTACATATGTCGTGACATCATTTAACCCGGGTGCTTATCTGATAACTCGACTCCAGAGTTCATATGTATTAGCGTATCGCGGATCCCACACCAGATACTCGGGATGGAGGTTGTATACACAAATTGGCGATGTTTTGATTAACCAATGCATGACCAATTACTCGAGAATGTTCTACTTGAATGTTCTTCGCGACGCTGATACTTCTTCCTTGAAATTCCTTCCAATCCAGGTATGCCACCTAGTCCAACTGTCATATCTATTGCGACATCATGATATGATTACCGTACATTGACGAACACTGGTCTAGTGACAGTAGTCCCTGCAACGGTTATCTTTCAAGCTGCGAATTTGAATTCCTGGTGTTTCCAATATGCTCTAACGTGACATTATCGGTCTATTAAAATGCTAGTCAGTCAGGACGCGTTCACTCGATCCCAAAAAGGCAAGAACAAGGATGAGCGCCTTGGCCCTTGGCGCATGCACCGGACATTCCAATAACGGACATGTAACAAAAAGGCCCCAGTCTCCCGCCCCCGACGCCACCGGCTGGCGGGACAGTCGCGACACTAACTTTGGTGCTAGCTGCGCATCACGAGCGGGAGGTATTCTTAGACTTAGCTAACCCTCGCATTAGTTAGTTAGCTTGGCAATTAACCTTTGACCGTCACGGGTGCGGCAGCGCTTTGATCGTCATTATCAAGATGCACTGCTTGCCCTGTCAAGAGTTTCCATTCTTCAGAACGTACATGATTACATCCTACTCGGCTTACTGGATAGCCTATAATCGTAATCCCGCCATCGGCGAATCTTAATTTGCATTAGCTCATACGGGATCGAGGGAATGTGATACCCTACTACAGATAGTAAGTACTTGAGCAAAGCCTGATCTAAAGATCTATGCGTGTCAAGTGCGTAGAGTGCTATTGTTGAAAGAGCGCCGTGAAATTTTTTTCATGAGCGAGGCGGTGCCCGAGTTGATGAGAGGCGTTCTGGCAGGGTGACGGGCCGCAGCTGGTACTTTCCGACTACACCGTGTTTGCAATATCGTTGGTTGGTTGAATGAAGGTGTCAAAACGTCATCTAATGGTAATGGCTTATCACCATCATTTATGGCGTGAATGCATGGCTGAGCGGTGCAGATACGGTTTCTATGCGCAGTCTTCTGTGGGAGAAGATGCTGCCTTGAGTCTTGGTTGTTAATGTGTTTTGATACACGTGCAGCGTGTTATACTACTAGCTGTTCTGACATCTCTGGCGGTTGGCTGTATTCTAAGAATACCACAGTAGCATGCTGGCAATCAGGAAAACGAGAAACCGAGTGAAATTCAAGCCTAAATGTATCAAGGAGTGAGAGAGTAAAGTGACGAGTACTGAGCGTAGGAATAGTGCTGTGAAATAGGACACGAACTCGGTTAGTAGCTAGGTTTCATTAATATAAAATCAATGAATGCCCTCGGAATCTTCCCGGTTTGAATTTTGAAGGACGAAGAACGGTCCCCAAAATAAACTCAAGGATCATCATCGAGTCTTTCAAGGTTTGTCACCGATAGCGTTGGCCATGGCAGCATTAATATAAGGGTTCGTTTTCATCGCGAGAAGTACAATGTCCCATGTCGTTTAGTAAATCACCAAGCGGAAACGAGTCAAGCTGCGCAGTACGCAGCTAGGAGGCTTAGGCGAGTGCGTAACTTTCCGTGTAAGTGGAGACGTGACGCATGAGAGTCAAGTGGAAGCTGAGCGATACTACCAATAAAATTGGAGTCATTACGGTAAGAGCGGATGATTCACGATCCCATCACTAGAAGGTTCTAGACTTTGATCATGCTACTCATTTGAATTATCATTCACTATTCATCCGGTGGTTTCATAGTTGCGAGATGCGGACTACTAGATCCTCTTAAAGCCATAATACGCAGATTAACCACCCTCACGGTCTTTAATCGGATACTCACAAAGTATAAGGACTACCAGCCACGCGGATAAAGTAAATTGGTATTCTCGAGAACATGTTTGAGGGTTGGAATCAAAGCGTCGGTAACTGCCGAGATTGCCAGCAAAGCGATGGCCATGGCACTGACCACTCCTTATTATTAAGTGGCCAGATATATCATAAACCCGTTGAAATTGTGGCCCCCGCCACGGAAGAATCTAGCTAGGACGTGATTCTTCCACGTACGATCAACTCAATTGAATACGCTTCTCGCCTGTATTCAAAACGGGCAAATCATCGAGTCACATAGAACCGTGATCAACATTCGGTAAACTTAACCGAGTTACTTCGGAACAGAGCGCGGTCCCATCGTCCGCGTCTTATTTCACCGGTTAGATGAAACGCGCATATTGCACTAACGATGTACATGATGTTATAATTTACTAATGCTTACAAGGCGAGGAGAAGCTGTACTTACGATACAAACCAAGGGCTGCTCTAGATCTGGGCCCTTGCATGAAAGCGCTCGTGTCATAATTTTCCTGCCGCAGGCTGTCAGTCCACTTGCGGGTTCCTCGCATAGGCCACGAGCTAGCAAGCATACGTACAACCATCCCATCATGATGATACGAACACCAAGTATCATAATCATCCGTAACGCA